CCATTAGAGTCTTGGGTGTTGTAAGGACCCCGAGAGCTGTGCATCAGTCCTGGCTGCATCATGGGTGGAGGACTGAAAGGAGCATACTCCTAATCCAGAAAGTCAAGGAGCCATAAGCCTGAGGTCTCATAATTCATGCCTTTTCAGCAAATTAACATCTTAACACTATTTTAAAGCTGTCTGTGCAAAACCCCTGACTTTCTGTTGGATGGCTTTGTTGTGCCAGATTTAACAAATGGAGTAGTCTAAGAAAGGAATGCAGTATTTGAAGGATGGAAAGATTCTTTGTTTTCTACTATTGACTGTGATTTTCATGTACAGCTCACTCTGGCCTAGGTTATAGCCTGCCACTGAAACAACAGCACAGAGCAAACCACTGTTCCTTGTAGGCATGCACCCTAGTTGTGCGATATGTGGTAGTGGCTTGTTTGCCTGTATCAGAACTGGATTTTTCAAATGCCACTCTGAAAAGAGCATGTGTGTGCATATACAGCATCCACTGTACAACAACTATTTGTTGATGAAGTATTTGGTATGGAACATAAAAATCAGACTTGGCTGTGACCCTTTTTATCTGTTTAGTTTCATGATTCAAAGAAAACCGGTAGTTGGGAAAGAAATGAGAATACTGTACAATGTACTGCATTGATTTTTCTTGTTAAGGTTTTAATAACCAAGGTTTCTTCCTTCCTAAAATATTTCAGCTCTTTGAAAACTTCACTTGAAGCATGCTGTGTGTCCCTTGGTTATCACAGTGGAATTTGCTGCCATTTGTAGCCAGAACTGTCTTTGCTCACTGTTTGGAATAGTGGTGTGAACACCAGCTGCTTTAGAGGTAGCTGCTCTTAGTAGTGTTAAATAGGATACGCTGTGGCACAGGAATTAGCTTAGAAAATTTGATTCCTTTTAAAATTGATTAATTCCCTGTTGGCTACACTTCAGGGAAAGAGGATTTACCCACTTTTGTCTTCAACTAATACTGTTTACACTACTGAGTTCGCATCCTATCATGTTCTGCCAGTCTTACTAATCCTTCTATATGAACTGTATGCTGAGCAGGCAATGGGGGTGCTAGGTATCTGTTGGGTGCTAGGTTTTATAGATTCTACCTCCTGCTACAACTTTAGTCCTTGCAACTATAATTGCTGTGTTACCAAGTATCTGAATACAAATGTTGTACTGCACCATTTTGGCTATTCTCCCTTGGGCAACTACAGTCTTACATCATTTGAAACCAACCAGAAAATCTCGACTGAAATATTGCACTTCTAACTAATTTATTTTTGTGGTTCATTTTGCCAAGTAAAATTGAGGTAGTTTTTCTCTTGTTCTGCCTTTGTAAAGCTTTGGATCTTATTGTATCTTTTACTCTAGTTAAAGATCTAACACTAACTTTGAGCTAATAAGGAAATGCTATAATGGACCTTAAAAGACTTTGTGTAGGGATTACGATGGCATCACTGTTATCAATAACCTTTTGCAATGAAACTGGATACTCAGGACTATGCGCTTTAGAGTAAACTGTATGGAGTGTAACTGTCTTAATGCCTGAAACTGTCTCCTCTAGCATTTTACTTGCAAAGGAGGTAACAAGGTTGTAAGATGCTGTTGGACTAAGCATTAAAACTGTCAAGAGACTGACTGGCAGGGAAGGCACACTTTAACTTCTTGGATGCAACAAGAAATATCCTGTGCTTCTAAGTCAGTGACCTTATATTTCAGGTATTGACTTTTAGAAGGGGAATTGGCTTTTGACAGCTTGCTTTCATCTAAGCAGGATGATTTGGGCTGTAGCAAAGCAAGGCTTCTTTCAAAGTGACTATTCAGAATGCTGTCTAAGAAGCCTGAAATGCCTTTGTGTAGCAATGAAAGCATTGTCCAGAGCAGCAATGCCTTGGCTCTGCCTTTGAGGAGAGTTATAGAGAAGGGATAGCATCTGAAATGCTATTTTTTCAGATTTAGTAGGCAGGTGAGTATTCCTGGCAAGAATTTTCCTAAAGAACTAAGCACAATGCAAGGAAGGATGCAGGACAGATTGCTCAGGCAGTAGGTTCCTGTTCGGTTTTAAATATTTATGGAGCAATAGCTCAAAGAAACCTCAGTTAAGAGCAGAATTGCACAATCGTAGATATTCATGCATGCTCTGAATTAAAAATATCAAATGCTTGGGTTCATAGCCTGGATATTGTGTATTTGAAGTGTTTAATTATCCCACATGACATGTTGAGAATGTGTCTGTTCACTCAAAGGGAGCTTTTTACTTCTGGCATCCTTGAAAGGATAAGATTTTGGGTGTAAAAGCATTGTGAAGTGGCACAATGCTCTCTTTCCAAACCTACAAACTGGCTCCAATAGTGACTGAAAACTGTGAATCTCTTGTTCTTTATTTGGAGGAATGGGTTATGTTTCTCTATTTTAATATAATCACTTTCTGACTCTTTATTATTATGTTTTAAATAATAATGTGAAAATCTTACAGTTTCAAAGTGAAATATTTCAAATGTTAGGAAACAAGAACTCACGTTCTACATGAAAGCTTGATTTAGCGTGAGTGGTTATACATTAATACATAGATGTCGTTATGCATGTTGTCAAACAGGTTTTAGTGACAAACACAGATTTTAGTCAAATTTGTCTTATTTAGGAGATGGAAAATAAGGGAACTAAAAAGCAGAGGAACAGAAAGGAATATGCAGATGGAAAAGAAATGGAAAAATAGAGGTGATCGTAAAGGGTATTTGTTTTTCTATGGAATAATACTGAATAGAAATATGTTAAAAGTTAGTGGGAAGTTTCATTAGTATAGGAAAGTTTAATTCTTGTTTCTCCTAGATTCTCAGTGAGATAGGAGAACACAGACACTTTCTGCTGCAAATTGCAACTTGCAACTTCCCTAATTAGTATCAGGTAGAACAAACATTGCCCTCTGGATTGCATCCCTACTCTGAGGAAGAGAGCATTTCAGCAGAGATCATTATCAAAACCAAGTTAATTCTTGGTTAACTAACAATGTACCTCTCCTCAGCTTTGATAACAAGCCCCTAAGAGCTGAGGAGTTTGCTGTGTGTGCAAAGTGTCCAGTCTACAAGGAGAATGAAGAGAAACCCTCTGCCCACCATTAACCTTATTTTAAATGAGATTACAAATACACTGAGCAGCTGCTCCAGCTTTACTTGTGCATGTTATAGTATATGATGTTTGTTTGCCAAATCATAACTCCTGTTGATGACAACAGTAATAGTACTTGTTAAAGCACAAACCCCACCTTCTGTATCACTGTGGCAAGGGGACTACATAGAACATGCTTTTTATTAAAGTCATAATAGATCTTCACATAGATTAAGCCAAGCAAGCATCCTTGGCACAAGGAATAGTACAAAAGCATCGTGGGTTAGAAGCTTGGGGGAAGCAGACCATCTGTAAGTATTCCAATCAAAGATGGGACACTAAAAGTAAAACCTAAATATTGTTTTATAAAAGTGGGTTAGAGAGTCTCGATACACAACAACAGCACATACCTAATGGTTTATTTCGTTCAAATTTTGTGTTGTGCAAGCCTGTTGCACATTAGTTGAAGACTGGCTTGGTGGGATTGTACCCAATATATTTTTATTACCACTCAGAGATAAGGAAATATATATATATTTTAAAATAACCTTTGAATGGCCCATATAATCTAAAATACCTGAAGGGACCAACTGTGACCCTGTTAGCAGCACCGAGCGTGTTTAACTGCGCATGCACTCCTTTAAAGCTGCATCTCCTGTAGTGGCTATGTAAGTTTGGGGAGTATTAGCAGTTGCAGCTCAGGTGCTGGAGTGCTTATGGCAGCATTGTGTTCAGAGTGTTTTGAAGTGCTCAACTATTTTCCAAGCATCTTTTGTGGGTTTTGTAGTTCCCACTTCGATGTATGATATGAGAACTAGACTGTTACCAATGCTCCAGCTAACTTAAGGTTACTTAAGATCTTACTCTTCTGTTTATCCTTGTGTGCTTACATTCATACCCTGTAGTCAATATTATTATGTCATGGACCCTACTTCCACTACCCAAGAAATGGTCTGTTCTATTGGAAATAAGCTACTGACTAGATTAATCAGTCTGAACAAAGGAAAGAGATTTAAGCAGGCCTGTCAATTATAAAACAATAAAACATGACAAACTAGAATATTCTTTTTCCCAAGGAAAAGACATGACAAAAAAATCGGTTTTCTAACTGGTTTTGTCTCTCTTCATTTTATGTTTTCTTGGAGTATTACAGAAGTGGTCAGATAACACTGAAAAATCCACCTGCTATTGCAACAAGTAAGGGTTTTGCCAGCAGATTTTGGGAGGTAAATTCAACGCCTCCTTCAGTGGATGAGAGTCTGCCACCTAGTGACCACCTTCAGCAGCTCCATCGCACTTGAGCATGCAGAAGCCTTGGAAAATCAGTCAAGAACTGAGATTTGCAGGGATTTGGTGTGGCTTCCGCTTGAGGAAATTTTGATGCATTGATATGTGATGCCTCCTCCTGCTACACTTTGGTTAATACACGAGCCGATTTTTTTAATTACTGTTTGAAAAACTTGGAGGTACATGAAAAGATCTGGGTGTGCTACAGCTCTACTTAGGTAAGACACATCTCTACTTTAAAAAACAACACCACGAAACTCATTTAACCTCAGAAGCATATTCTCCATTGCAAGTCCGATTGAGAATAATGCTATTGTTTATGCTGCTGTTCTTCAAGGTTTGTAGCATTTGATCTTGGCAGTCACAATTGTATGGTAACTCATAGATGATTAGCCTTGTACAGTAAGCATCAATGGCACACTGCTCACAGAGGCTGTGTGCAGCCTCTGAACAACATGGTAATAAAGATTTTTACTGATTCTTACTGGATTTTGTAGACTACAGAAAACTCTGTTACCAGGGAAATTATTCTTGGTAGAAATCCCAGGCAAAATATTGAGTAGTATTGTAACAGAGAAATAATTGGCTGTCTTTTTTTGTTATAGAATAGGGAAACTTGCAACAATGGAAATAAGCAAGGCAGGACTTGAGTTCAGCATCAACATGATGAGTCCAAGGCACCAGGTATAATATTGTCACACCTAATGAATAAATCGGTGGGTGTTCATAAAGTCTTTTATCTTAAAGTCAGATCTGAGTGATCTGAGTACCATCTTCTTTATGGCACCAACAACAGCAAATAATGGTAATAGTGAAATGGTCTTAAAGTAAGCAACCTTGAGTCTCTAAACTTTCCAGAACAGAACATAATCCTATAGCGAAAGTATGGGAACTTGAACTGGCATCACGTACTTGCTTATACTGATCGCTATATCAGACGGTGTGTTCAGGATAAGTTCTTCTACCTGGAGTTTTGCAGGATGAAGTTACAGTATGCAAACTTACACAGTCGCCCGCATGCCCCTTAGGTCCGTGATGATAAAGGAGCCTTTATGTCTCAACCAAGTAGGAAGACTAGCCTCATTGTAAAGAGCTGTCTCTCTCTTTTCACCTTCCACAAAGGGAAGATACATAGCAAAAACATCACATCATGTTGATTACTGATGTGCACTCTGAAGCTGTGGTGGCACTTCATACCTCCTTTCACTATTTCTAGATGGTTGAGATTAAAGTGTTCTGAATGAGCACTTTCTTTGGTTCCAGTGAAGCTATTCCGGTACGTTAATTTCCCATTTGCTGGACACTTCAAAGAGTTCAGCATGACTTCAGAGTACTGAAGACATACTTCAAGCTGCTGCAGAATTAACTTAGGAGTTATAAAAGCAGTAGATGCATGACTATGCTTTTAATCCATGAAAAAGGAGATGTGGAACTGGTACTTTAACAAGCTGACAGCAGCAAATTAAAATTTAATGTGGCTATGATGAGATGACAGTTACTGTTTGTAAGTAATTGGGATCACCTTTCTCCAGCCCTGTTCAGTACTATTTGTGCAATCTTACATCGCTGAGAACATAATCCTGCAATTGAGTGAAAACAGACAGCAAAGTACTTCCCTCATGGATTGATCCTAAAATGGGCTTCAGATTTCTTCCTTTTCTCACATGTGACAGAAATTAAAGTTCCAGCAGATCCTGTGTTCATTGCCTGTTGCAGACAGGCAAGGAACAGAGCAGTTGGATAGGCTACCTCAGGAACCTCTGTGTGATGTAAGTAGAAAGGTTGGAGTCCATTCCTGTTTATGATCTACCCAACCTCCCACGAGAGACCAGAGGACTCCTCATATATCATGAAGAACCCTGAAGGAGGCACAATTCCTTCCAGTAGCAGCCAGAAGGCATTGGCAACAGAAGTGCAATGAAAAGGATAAAACTGCTTCAAGCCACCTCCAGTGCTGCATTTGTGAAGTTGCCAGGGATCTTCATAAGTAGACTCATAGATTGCAGGCAGAACAGCTTCATTCTTTAACTGTGCTATAAACATATGTCAGCATGTGTGGGACTTAATAGGTGTGTTTCAGGTATGGAACAGAGGAGATTGCATATAGCAAAGAGGTTCAGATGAAGTGAGTAACACTGCTAACTCCAAACACTAAAATGTCCTAAGTAGATCTTCATTCATTAGTTCTTAGATACAGAACCAATTTTCAAGTTTCTAAAATAATGATTTACCTTTGGAAACTGGGGGTCTGTGTAAGGTATAAAAGATAAGATGTATGGAGTTGTTACAGGGGGTTGACGCAAGCCAACAGCTAAGCAGCACATAGCTCTTGTTCTCCCCACAGAGCAGGGCAGGAGAGAGAATAAGAAGAGGAATAGGAAGAAAAACTCATGAAGGAAAAATGAAGTAAAACAAACCAACTGATGTCAAGGCAACCACTTAGCACCTTCCACAAGTAGACAGATGCCCAGTTGGTTTCTGAGCAGTGGCTACCTATACAGAATCCCCTTCCCTTGGTTTTTATTGCTGAGCATAATGTGACATGGTATGGAATATTTCTTTGATCACTTGGGGTCAACTGGCTGTGTCCCCTCCAAGCTTCTTGCCTATGCAAGCCTACTCACTGCAGGGGGCAGAGTGGGAGAAAGAGAAAGCCTTGACACAGTTCAAACACTGTTCAGCAGTAGCTAAAGCGTTGGTGTGTTATCAACACTGGGTTAGCCCCAAATCCAAAGCACAGCGCCATATGGGCTGCTATGATGAAAGTTAACTTCATCACAGCCAGATCCAGTAGGGGTGGCCATATTGAGAGGGCAAGTGGATATGAAAGGGGGGAATGCAGGCAATGTGAACAGAAAATGTGGCCTGAAAGCAAAGGAGAGGCTAAAAATATTTTCTAGAATAAAAAATAATTGAGATGATCTGACAAAAAGAATGTTGGAAAGACTGAAAGGATATTGTAAGAAAGGTTTATACTGTGTAAAAATACTTGGAAAACCAGCAAGTAAAGAAAGAAGGAAAGGTAAGGAATCACTATTCGGGGCGGGGGGGGGAACAAGTTACAGAAACACCAGTCTTATATGGTGTTCTTTACGTTAATGCATTTCTTACATATGTACAAAAAAACATAGTGAAGAGTTCCTGACAAGTAGTGAATCCAGTACTACAAGGAGCATTGGAATTACAATGCAAAATCCTTTTTGTACTCAGGAGGACGCAGAGAAAAGAGAAAATACAGCTGAAGTGACTACACTGCTGTCTCCACCATAGATAATGATATAGTTTCCTAAGCTGCCCCTCAGCATTGGTCTTAGATGGTTTCATGAGCATCTCTGCTTTAGAGGAATAAGGAAGCATAGTACACGATGCAGCTCCTCCATGATCACAGAGTCTATGGTGCACTGGTTGGTACTAGCTAGGAGTCTGGCATCCATAGGTGTTCTAATCAATCTGCACCTGGATGAGAGAGGAAGCCAGGCTTTGGGAACTTAGTGGAGGTCAGTATCAGCTTAGGAATGTGAAAGTCATGAAAGAAAGTTTATTTTCAGTATTAGCTGTGATCACTTAAATATTAAACTAGGCACCAGGGGCAACAAGTGTAGACTGCCAGTAGATCTGAAGGACAGCAGGAGGCTCTGGCAGATCAGGTACTGATGAATAGTTGATGCTTCTCTCTTCTAAACATAGTTTAACTTCACTTGGAAAAGTATGTCTGACTGCAGTTTGATTCCCAGTAAGTTCTTGTCAAGCACTGCTATTCCAATTTGCTTTGGAAAGCCTCTTCCTATGTGTGATCCCTGCCCCATCCACTAAGCCTTCAGGCTTTCTATCCCTGACAAACAGCCTAGATACAGCTGCCACCAAAACATAGCTTGACTAATAACTTGTTTATACAGAGTTGTCTGATGCACCTGTAAAGCTGGTCTAAAAGTCTTGAGTAAACCCCTTCTTTGTAGCACATCTTGTTTCTGTCGGAGTTTCACTTAGAAAATAGAAAGAAATTCTGTGTTCAACAGAAGCTGGTATGTAAAATCTTCTGATTTTTGCAGAACAAGTGGTGACAGCCGGAACATAATGCAGCTCTCAGTGTTCAAAGGATCTGCACCACAATTAATTACTTACTGAGCTGTTCACTTTGCATGAAAATCTTGTCTCAGTAATTGAACACATCACTGGGGCTGCTGCTGAATGTATCTGGTAATGCCTGCTCTGTAAAACAGAGTCTGTCACTCTTTTGGATACGATTTAGTGCAGGGTTTTTTCTGCCATTTTCTGCTTTTCTCAGCATGGGAGCCCCATGTTTTGCACCCTGTGGTTTTAATTCAAAAGCTTTATTTTCTTAAGCAGCTTCGTTGCCTTTCTGAATAATTCTCTTCCAGGGTCCAGAGAGAGATTTTGCATAGTTACCAATCTGGGGCCTAATCTGCTCTTTACTTTCAGAGTGGAAAACATACTACATAAATAATAAAAGGGTACTTACATTTGCGTAGTGCTTTTCATCCCAAAGGATCCTTTTTCATGTTACTGGATGCCAGACTGTGGCTTGATCCAGGGAAAGATGTGTTATCAAAGACATCTGTCTTGCGAAAAACCCATCTGGATCATTAGGATAAATCATAATGCTCAACCTTGAACTCCTCTTTTTGACAAACTCTCACAATGCCTGGAAGAGTACTTTAACTAACATAAAGAATATATAGTTATAGGCACATATATATACACACACATGTATATATACATATATATAGAATATATAATATAGAGAGTTCTAGTATGTTGGCATGCTCTGGAACTGCTACCACAGGAAAACACTCAGGGATGGGGGAATGATGTAGGCTTGACCAATTGCTCTGGTGGGAGCACTTCAGGACACATCTGGAAGCAGAATTCTACTGTTTAGGGAACTTTAAGGCTAAGCAAGGAGGTAGCTGGATAGTTCAGATGCCTCTGATCTTGGGCAGCGGCTCCCTGTGGGTATTTTGGATTGTAGCTTTGAATTTAGGAGCCTTACTTCTGTTCAAGTCTTGCCCGAGGCATTGAAGTCCTTAGTTGGAGCTAGCCCCAGAACCCCAGCTGGTACACATCAGGAGAGATCAGTTATACTCAGAAGTGTCATAACACATGATCCTAGTTGCTGCAGGCAGAAATGATTTCTGTTGAATAATTGCTGTTGAAATGAGCTGCTCTAGAGCAAGCAGATGAAGAAGATGCCTAATAACATAAAACAGTATTGTGGGCAGCATTTGGATCTGGGATTCGTTTCTAAGAGTACTCAAAAAAGCTTAAATCTGACAAAACATGGTGGCTAGTTTATTTCCTTGATTTTTTTTAAGTTTATATCATCACAGTTTCTAAGAACTTGTACAGGTTCCAGTGTTAACAAATAATTTTTACCCATAATATCTCTCTTGCTCATGCCCCTTACCTTGTCATTTTATTCTTACCTTTATATTCATAGAATCATAGAATGGTTTGAGTTGGAAAGGACCTTGAGATCAAGTTCCAACCACTGCTTCTTCGGGCAACCTGTGCCAGTGCCTCACCACCCTCACAGTAAAGAACTTCTTCCTTATATCCAACCTAAACTTCCCCTGTTTCAGTTTAAACCCATCACCCTTTGTCCTATTCCTAGAGTCCCTAACAAAAAGTACCTCTCTGGCATCCCTGTATCACTGTAGCAAAGTATCAGAATAGATCAAATGGAACAGAGCAGTAGCATCAAGAGAGATTCTCTGGGCCTCTTGCACTTCCTAGCCCTACTAAAAAAAAAGCCAATGTAAGGCAGACGTAGGTACTTCTGATGCACTTGCTCTGAGAATTCACTTATCCTGGGCTGATCACCAAGCACTTCCACCAGCAGGAAAGTTTATAGAGAAATTAAAGTGATTTGAATTCAGTTTTATTCCTCTTTCTAGAATAATCAAGTGACTTCATATCTTACAGAGTTAATCCAAACTTGTTAGTCCTTTAAGAAGCCCTTCTTGGATGGCAGCCCAGGATAGTACTGTTTCCCAGGGCCAAGAAATAAAGCTTGAATAATTCACGGTGTGAAAAATAGAAAAAAATGAGAATGTTCACATACTGCACTATAAATGCAAAAAAATATCATCAGGCTTTCAGCCAAATGCCATGGTAGGCTGAAATTGCTTATGCCACACATGCGTAATAATTCCTGTTAATGCTAAATGGAACTGTTGTTACTGATCATATTTAGTTTGGAAGAGATCAGCAGCGAGTAGCTGGCCTCTAAAGAACCACCTAGAGCTTGGTCTTAGGATCCCTTTCTTTGTCAGGGGTTCAAATGGCAGTTAAAGCTTATCAGGTGGGATTTTTCATGTGTGTGATTTTTCTTTCCTCACTGGAAAATGCGCTTCATTTAAAAAGTTAATTTCCTTTTATCAAGTTCTTCTCTTAGAACTCATGTGGTTTATATCCACGGTTAAATATTTGTTAGCTCAGGGTAATTTAATAGCCTGTTACTAGAAATCAGTGGCTGGGTTAATTACATGGAAGATGAGGGCCACAGGTTCAAATCTTTGGTAGTAATTGATGCAACTTTTATTCCATGCAGCTGCTGTAACTGCCCCATTCTCTGTAACCTTGTTTTTCTGCCAGCTTTAGCTGAGAAAATTTGTTTTTTTAGCTCATTCTGCTGGTGGTGATTCCTTCTATCAATAGGAAATTCTTCTGAACCTTTATCCTTTATTATTGCAGCACTGGATCCTAACCTTGGATTGCAATGGGTAGGTGTTCTGTGCCCAGTAGAAGTGGAATAGAGCAGGCGTTCCATCTGCAACATTTGTGTGAAACTGGAATAACAGAAATGGAACAAATGTGCTTGAACGAAGTACAATGGCATGTGTTTAGGGACCAGTGACTGGATTTACTGTTAACTGTGGCTTGGAGGATGACAGATGAGGAGGAAAGCTTTAGTTCAGCCTTTTCATGCTTTCTACATGCTCTGTGAGAATTTCTACAGCCCAGGTCTCCATATCCCAAACTCCTTGCACCCTAAGCTGTAGAAAACAGAACAATGAACTCACCTGGCTGAATCTTACCCCAAATCCTTGCCCCCAGGTGGAGCTTCTTGTGAACCTGACTTGTGCCACCCCAACACCATGGCATTCCTTGCACTCCCAGGCTCTTTTCTCACTATCAGGTCCTGCACCTCACTGTCTCAACAGCATAACCCCAGTGGAGTTGCCTCTTTGCCTGCAGTCTGGCCCCATGGCAGCTTTTACATCATCATCAAGTGTGTCTTCCTTCCTACGAAGATGGTTCTAGTCTTGTTATAGTGCTGATACGCCACATTATCCATTTACACCTTGTCATGTCATCCCACAAGGTGAGAAGAAATGGGAATGGGAACAAATCACACACCTAACCAGTCAGACAATTGCTGCTGCTGTACGCACAGCTGGAATGCCATTTTTAATACCACTTGTCTTTTGTTCTTTTATGTCCATGACTCAGTCTGAAGGCTGTGCTATTCATGTGACTGCTGGAAGCTTCAGTAAGAAATGGTAGGGGAAGGAAAGAGAAAGAGGAAGGAATTGCGATGGCTTTTCTCTTCTTTCTTCCATATTGACAGCCTCAGTTTGTTGGAAAATGGCTACAAGGCTGCTGGGGAGGAGGAAGATTTGATTTTTCTTATGTATTTGGTGTAGTATTTCCAGCAGAGGTAGGAAAGAAGTGCAACAAAGGACTAGTTGGACAGTCAGGGGAAGATAACATGCTCTACAAGAGGCTGTTAATGGTATGTATACATTGTGCAATGCAGCACTGTGCAGAGCCCTGAGTAGCTATGGTAAAACTAGTTCTAAATTGAAAGTAATACAATGGTGTCAGCATTTTCTTGCAGCTAACTTAGCTGTGCTGAGTGGCAGCATTAATTAGCACAAAACCACTGCTGTGCTAATGGAAATATGCAGGCCTAAGCAAGTATGGGTGAGCTGATCTAGGTGAATGCAGTGCTATGCTTCAGGCTAGCCCTATTGCATAGATCAGATCCTGAAAAGAGCTTGGGTTGCTTAGCCTACCTGATACTGTAAGGAGAATTGTTTACTGTTCACAAATAGATGGGGATGCATTAGAAAAGGAGAGCGATTAAGTGAGCTGAAGGCCAGGTTTGGCTTTTAGTGCACTTAACACAATAACAAATTGGGAAGGAATTGTTTTGTTTGGTGACATTGGTGTTTCTTTTAGTATAAATATAAGAATTCTAAGGGGGGGGGACACACACCTCATAGTGAAATGACAGAACACCTCAATAATGTCAGTGACTGTGTTCACTTGAAAGGTGCCTAATGAAGCCTAAACCACCTATGTCAGTTGCTCTAATAGGGGTCTGGATCTTGCTTTATCAAAGGTTTTGTTTCAGTTCTCCTCTCTTCCCCACCTTTAAGGATTTTTTTTTTTTTTTTTTTTAGTTCATCTAGTTCAAAACATATCTTTCCTAAAAGGAACTGAAGGCAGATTTTTGATATGATGGCGGCTGTATGCAAAAAGCATCCAATCTGAAACAGCAGTTCTGAAATATGAAAGCACTGGTTCTCTATTTGTCTCTTTTGAAAGTAATGCTAATTAAAATTAAAACATGAACATTTAATGGCTAATTATCAAAGAGATTAATGGGAAAAAATATTGTGTGTGAAACCCAGACAGAAGATTGCTGCAGGGAGGAAAATGAAAAGGGTAAAAAGTCAGGGAGAAGGGAAAGGGGGGAAGGAGAAAGCATAGGACTGTTACTGGTCCTAAAGGCTAACTCTGATTTTCACTATGATCCTGAATTCTGTAGTAAGGCACTTAAAACATTAGAAATAAAGTGGACTTTCACTGTTAAACATTAGAACAAATGAAATTACACAGTTCTGCATGAAGCAGCTACCTTTAGGTAGCCTGTTGAAGTCTGTTGGCCTATTTTTGTACCAGACCATCAGGAAATAAACCTTTGAAATTCAGGCTTCTCTACTGGCTGAGTTTGACACTGAGGGTGGGCATCCTCAGCTCTGCTTGAAAACCTGAATTTTGTTGCTCCTTTCCATATAGGTTTCCAGTGATGGCAAATAGCAAAGGTCTGGCATTTCACTTGATCTGAAGTCTTTAATTACAGTCAGACATGAGGCTGCAAGGTGCCTTCAACCACCCAAGGTCATAAATGCCCACAAGAAGTACAGCCTATAGAAGTGCTGTGCACTGTGGGTACGTGAGCAGATCTCATTTGTTGGTACTGACTATCAAAAATAAAACAGTTCACTTGGTTACAACCCATACCAAAAAGCTTTTATGCATTGTAGCATTTAATGTGTGGCTGTAAATTAAGTTGAAGATGGGACAGTGATAATCCATGAGAGATTAAATTTTCCACAGGCTACCATGACCCCATTTCAATGCAGATCTAATTCAGTTTTCAGCATTTTGTGTAATGATAAGACTGTGTAAACGCAGATTTGGTTGTTATCTGCACATTATTTGAGAGAGGCCAGAGACCAGAAAAGAGATATCCCAGTGTGAGAGTTTTTTTTCTTTTTAATAACATAATTCTTACATTCCTGGGTATTGAATCCCTGTTTTGAAAAGAAAAGCAGCCACATAACTAAACAGTTGTCTTTTCGTAACAAAATGTAGCTGTAAAGGAGCTAAGTTATGCACTTGATCTCTCTTACGCAAAAGTAGCAGCTGGAATTATGCTTTCTTCAAAACAGGGACAGTGATATTTCAGAAACAGTGTTATTTTCACCTTTTTGTCTCTTTCCCCCTTTGTCAAGAAAACAGGCAAAGCAAGATTAGACCTAAAGAAATGTGCAAGGATGGTTTTGATGGCAGCATGCTTGAAAAAGAAACAGAACCAGAGAGAAAGATTGAGACTTCATGTCTCGTTTGCATACTTCTCTGCCACAGGCAAGTTTGGGTTTTTTCTCACAAACAGTGGTAGGTCTTTACCAATACTTTGGTGACAATAACTACGAAAATCAAAGTGAAAGTGATGTTGTGGCACTAAAGACAGTTCTTTTCTGAAGGGTTATGGGTTGCATTGGTAGGATCCTGGTCAATAAGCAGGCAACAGTGACTTGAAAGTTGCACATTTCACCTATGAGAGAAACAGATGGCATATGAGCACTGCGTTTCCCTGTTGAATATGGACCATGGGTGGTCTTGTTAAAACTCCGTCCCTGTGAGTCTGTGTCCTGGGTTCAGCAGCAGCAGTCATTTTTTTTCTCTTTCTTAGTAGCTGGTGCAGCGTTGTGTTTTTGACTTTCGGCTTGGGAACAGTGCTGATAACACCGATGTTTTTAGTTACTGCTCAAATGTTTAGTCTGAACAAGGACTTTATGAGTTTTATGCTCTGCCAGGGAGGAGGGGAAGCCAGGAGGAAGCAGAGACAGGACACCTGACCCAAACTAGCCAAAGAGGTATTCCATAACACAGCACGTCATGCCCAGGAGGTAGAAGTGGGGGCAGTTACCCGGAAGGGCTAGTTCACTGCTTGGTTGGGCTGGGTATCGATTGGCGGGTGGTATTGTATTCTCTTCCCCTGTTATTTCCCTTACCATTATTATTATTGGTGGTAGCAGTAGTGATCTGTGTTATACCTTAGTTACTAAACTGTTCTTATCTCAACTCGTGGGAGTTACATTCTTTTGATTCTCCTCCCCATCCCTCCAGGAGCGCAGGGGAGGAAAGAGGGGGGAGTGAGTGAATGAGCTGCACAGCTGGACTTAAACCACGACAGCCTGGCATCCCTCCTTTGTAGGTGGGAAAATTATTAGGTTTGTTTAAATTCAGTCATTGGAAAATTAACATGCAGAATCTAGGAGGTTTTTTTTTGTATTACAGTCCCAGGAGAGTATAAAATAAATATGATAAATTATTTCCAAGTGAATGAAAGAAAATATAAAGTCTGATCTCAAACTTTCTGGATTACAGAATGGACAGCGATAGACAGAATGGTTCTCCATTCAAATGCCTTCTGCTTTCATTCAAACCCCAGAAAAATTAGGAACACCTCCTGCTTCAACTAATGCTGGAGTAATTCAACTAAATGGTTTACTGCACTGAAAACGTAAGTGTAGCAGAACTTCAAGAATTACATTGAATTAATTGTATGAATTTTGTTCTTCCAGCAGCTGAGTTCAGAGCTCAGCCTGCTTGGTTTGTGTATATGAGCAGTGTTCCTGTCTGAAGTACTGTATTTACACATGAATAAGAAATCCAGATGATATAGCAGAATCCATGATCTGTGTTTTCCTCTGGCTATGCATGCTCTATTTTTCAAAGTGTGAAGGTGAAAGAGACCTGTTCATTACCAACTACTGTCAGGACAAGTAAAAGCCTATACCCAGATTATGTTGTCTAGACAGTGAGGGCAGGAAAGAAGCTAACACTTCCCTGGCAGACTGTGTTCATGGATTATCATCATCTAAAACTAGGCACAGTAGTTCACTACCTCAAATATCTAAATCCATATCTCCTGACACTGAACGCAGTTCTCCTTCCCCAGTGAAAGGGATCTTAAAGTACTGTGTCCTCAGTATTACATGTTAATAATTCTCTGCAGTTTGAGTGAATCTGTCTTTGATAGGAAAATGCTTAAAAACTGATCGTGAAAAGTTCTTATGAATAATGTTTGAGATTACTTGTAACTTTCTTATCTTATTTTCTGTATATGAATATTTTCTTGGCAAGTCTGAATTTCAAATTCATTTCATATTGATTAGTGATAGACATTGTATGATAAAGCTTTTATTCTTTCTCCATAAAAAGGGCAAATAGAAGGTGGTAAGGACTTTAATGTCACTGATTTAATTCGGAGAGCCCATCATTATGAGACAATTTAGTTGTTTTGTACCAAAAGCTCATTCAGTCCATTAATTCCTCCACAAGAGTAGGCTGTGGGTTTCTTGAAGTGCTTGAGTGCCATTTATAGTTATAGAGAAGTAAAAATCAATCAACTAGTTCCTTGGAAAAGACAGTTTGGCTCCCAGTGAGGCTAAAAAATGGCATGGCACTTACACGAGACTACTACATGCCTGATCCATGAGTCCCTGGGCCATTGTCTTGCAATGCAGTTTGGAATAGCACCAATATATTGAAGCATGGAATCAACTCTTGTAAACAACACTTTTCTGCTCAGGAGCATCCTGAAGCTTTAGGTACAAATGCTGTGTGAAATGAGAAAGTGCTTCTCAAGGCAGAAATAATTTTATATCAAGAACAGATTCATTACTTGTACCATCAACTAGAAACTTGTATTCAGAGTAAGAAGCATCTCCAGATTACTTTAGCTAATATGAATACAGCAGAGTGCAAGATTGTGAAATGAGGATTGAATTAAAACACACTTGTACTGGTTTGCTGATGATTATAGGAGTCAGAAAGCCCTAGTCCCCAGGAGATTTGTCATTAAATCACCACAGCTTTACAGTATGCAACCGCCTCCAGCCTTCATTGTTCCAAAGCAACCGTGTCACCATTTTCCGACTTAAACCCTTGAAAAGGTGTTGAGGTTAACACAAGATAAGAAAAGCAAGAATGAGCAAAAGCTGACATACAAGGGCTTGAGGGCTTCACAGTGTCCATGTTTTCTCACTTTCCTGTCTTCTCCCTGTGTTTTTTCTGCTCCTATGGCATCTTTATTCTCCTTTTCTGTGATTCCTCTCTTGTTTGAAATCTTGGCTCTGTGCGTGGCTCGAGGACTGTGTTTGTCTGGGACTCAGTACTGTGCCATAAAGCTCTTGTATGTTCACTGCATTTCTTCAGGCTGGCTATTATCTGTACCTATATGCATGCAAAAAACAGCAAAGAGGTTTTAAATGTGAGTCAGAACAGAGTTCATTGTAGTCTCTACTTGTGCAATGTGTGTATATAGCTTCTGTTTGTAGTTTTTCACTGCCTGTACTTCAAATTAACTACTTCAAAGTAGATATAAATTGCTACAGAATCAGCTTGGTCATAAGTGACTCCAGAACCTTCAGTGGAGTGCAAGATGTAATCTTTTGTCTTCCACCAAAATCAGCACAAATAACTTGATTTTACCAACGGAGAGGAAAATATTGTTCCCCTGCCCGACATGATAAATCTCTTCCAGGCACTGGTTTTCCTGAGTGTTTCTACTGACCTTCTCTCCCAGATGGAATCAGGCATTCCATCAACTTTAATTCTTCATGATCTTTCTGTAAATGTTTGATGCTGTCAATTACAGGGTTTTCCTCCTGCACAGCTTAAAGCATGTGATGGCCTGTTAGGCCACTCTTTCTGCCACATTTTCACTCCTCCCAGTCTCGATAATGTCAGCTTGTCACAACAAATAAAGCTTTTGTAACACCTCACTAAAGAGGTGTTCTCTGCTTTTCTTCCTCCCCTCTTTTTTTTGATCATTTGAGGAAGGTTAAATCAGGTAACAACTACAATAGGAGAACTGCTTAACAAACCATTAACAGTTTTCTAGTGTGGTTGCAGGCTGTCAGTTAGCTCCACGTTGTCCTTTTAACTGATCTCAATAGGCACAACCACCCACTGAGCAGCTGAGAAAGACATTTTGCTATACTTATCATTTGGTTCTGTGATTTTTGCCCAATAATTAATGCCATTAGGTCTGCAAAGTAACTAAGATCTTCTCTGAGGCATTTATATCCTTTTTTCTTGAAGGACCATTTAGCTGAGGCTGAGTTTGAGGTCTCATTAGATAAAGTCCTGGCTCTTCAAATCATTCCATCATACCTGGCTTATGCCAATTGATATGGTTTAGTGTGAACGGTGTCCCTGCCCATGGCAGGGGGGTTGGAACTAGATGATCTTAAGGTCCTTTCCAACTCTAACTATTCTATGATTCTATGAATTGCACAGCATATCCAGTAAAAATCAGGCGTAGGCTTTCCTTGCATTTGCACTTCATTTTACGATATCCTAGATCTAATGTGTGGATTTCCTGATCTTTTTTTTGTCAAACTGTCTTATTAAACTACTTCCAGTAATGTAGTCCAGGGAAAGGAGCTTTCACCTCACTCTGAACAGTTAGATACCAACCTCTCCCTCTAAACTGCTTAACCTGCTCCTGTGTCTCAGTAACCTCTAAGGATGAGTGAAGTGGCATGGAAGTGAGATCCGGGGCTGGATCCCAATATGATTCTCACTATACTTATGCCTGTTCCAAGTTGTCCTCTGAGCAGAGGACTCCTTTGCCTGCTGCAGCATGGAACCTGCTTTCATGAGCCTAGTAAGGAAGACGCAAAGGCAGTTGTCAAGATAGAAGGATATTGCTTATGAATGTGATATCACGGCTGTGGCTCTACTCTCTTCTCACTCCAGTTGCTCACCTACATGGTGAGGTAGCAATTTATAAGCAGCTGAGCTAATGTGCTATAAAAGATAGAATTATTTCAAAATGACAAAATAGGATTCATGTAGTACAGTGAGCTATCAAGTGGACTATACCATTCCAGCATGTACATGAGCATCTTTGATATTTAATGACGCTACTCAGGCTAAAATTCAAACATAGATTCTGTAGTTGGGTAGATAAAAATTCAAGTTGTCACAGTCAAAGCTAGAACCATCTCACTGATAATAAACACACACAAAATGGACTTGTGGAATCACCCACTTTCCAAAATAAGCTTCCAAATGGTTGTTTAAGTGTGTTAGCCCTTGAAAATTTCTCCTCAGGACCAATGGGCTCTTCAGATGCATTCTCCTACAGCCCATCGATTCTCAGGATTGTATTTAAAGACCTTCCTAAACCTCTGTTTTGGGTTTGTTCCAGAGGCAATTCTCAGATGTTTGCAGCTTCTCAAATACTCAAACTAATCTGAGCTCATACTCTGTTCTTCGGTGATGATTATTTCCATGCCATTTTGCAAGTCTAACCTACATTTTGGCTTCAGGCTCCTTTTTGTAGGCACAGAACTTATATTTTTAATGGGAAAAAATAATGTGGGTTTCTTTACTGTTTTTTTTTTTCACTCAAATACCTGCAACTTTTACTTAAAAAAATACTTCTGAATTACCTATGAAATCAGTGTTTTAGACAGAGTTATTCAGAGAGTTTTATCAGTTGAACCTGGCAGGAGAGAAGTCATTGACTGTTTTGGGAATCCATGATTTTCCAGCACTGTGATTAGAGTGTAAGAGGCAGGATCTCCTAGGAGAGTCCCACAGTCAACAACTGGGACTTAATAAATGTCTGGAACACAAGACTGATACTAGGAAATCCAAAAGACTTTTCATGCCAAGAGTTGGCTCTGATTAGCTTTGAAGTATTCATTTAGATAGCATTTTCAGTTCACACTGGGCTGGTTTTAAGATTACCTTATCTTTGCTCACCCTTTACATGAGCAAACTTAGCCTCTCAATGATACTCTTTTTTAGTGTGACCTGAGGTTGAAAAATCAGTTGTAACGGGAAATATGATTGGTAGAACAAATGTAAATATAAAAATACTAAATTATGTTTTCCTGCACCAGTCCCAAAGATTCCCATTCTGTATTTCATGTTATTTATGAAATTTGCTTCTCGACATGATGGAAAAGCAATTTCATTTCCATTGTTAGGGATGTGTAAAATTTGCTGCTGTCACTTACATTATCAGACAATTTTACTGTAGAAAATGGAAGGTAATTGGTACTTCAGGAAGGCCACAAATCTTTCCTGGCAGCAGTGTACCACTCACAGTACATTGATTGCCAAAATTAGTAAATTCAAGAGGAATATTATATTCCTTGAGTCCTGGCATAAATCTCTCCACATTCTGCATGAATTACTGCCATCAAGTTAGAAGATAGATTTCTGTCAGCCTGCTTCATTGTGTGTAATGCTCCTGATTTAGATGCTGCTCATTCGAACACATCTTCTAAAACTGATATATATTGCCTACTAAGTCCCACCAGAAAAGACTTTAAATGGCCCAAATATTGGGCTAATTTGCTGCTTTTATTTACTGATCTTCTTAGGGTTGTAAATCCTCAACTGCCTGTTGTTTCCTACTTCATTACCTTTGTGAATGAAAACTAATGAGAGCGCAGTGTTTGTACAAGGATGAGAATCTGTCTTTCTGTACATTTGGGATGCTTTTCATTGTTAGTGTTCAGGAAATGAGGTTTGAAATTTCTCTAACACACCTAAGAAATTTTCTCGATGTTAACCTAATGAGAGTACATCTGGGTCTGAAATGATTGCCTATGGCAACCTCTTGTATTTGTAAGCATTTACCAATTTCTGAACTTCAAGAGTCATGGCAAATTTTTGTCATTTTTCTGGCATACCTGAGGTTCAAGAAGATAATACAAGATGCATTTGCAGACCAATTATAATTTCTTTACCATGGACCGCTGCCTGTGCAAGGCCTAGGATGAGGAGGTTTCAGTAAAAAATGAATTGTTATTGTTATTCAAGTCCAGAAGAGAGCCATGAGGATGAGCAGGTGCTGGAGCACCTCCTGTATGAAGACAGGCTGAGGAAATAGGGGCTGTTTAGCCTGGAGAAGAGAAGCTGCGTGGAGACCTCAGAGACTTGAAGGGGGCCTACAGGGATGCTGGAGAGGGACTTTTCATCAGGAACTGTAGTAATACGACAAGGGGTGATGGGTTTAAACTTAAAAAAAGGGAAGATCAGGTTAGAAATAAGGAAGAAGTTCTTTACTGTGAGGGTGGTGAGGCACTGGAACAGGTTGAGCAAAGAGGTGGCAAATGCTCCATCCCTGGCAGTGTTCAAGACCAGGTTGGACAGAGCTTTGGGCAACATGGTCTAGTGTGAGGCACCCCTGACCATCGGAGGTGACATTGGGACTAGATGACCTTAAGATCCTTTCCAACCCAAACCATTCTCTGATATTTGCATGTGGGTCTTTGGCTCTGCCTAAGTCACTTGGACCCCTGCAACTTCTTTGGGACCAGGTTTAACCTGAAGGTGATACCTGCAGATTAAACACATGGGCTCATGTGTGCATTTTTGGTCCACAGCTCATCACAAACAAACAGGTACAATGTTTTGTAGGGTCAAGCTGAGTTGAATTAACAGTGCTAACAGAACAACCGTATAAGAAAGGAAGGTTTTCTGGTGCTCCAAGCAAGCTCAGCTTATTTTGTGAAAGAAGACTGATCTGGTTTAGTACTAGCTAAAAGGGGAACAAATCTGTGAGCCAATGGTGTCAATGTTGTGGTGGGAGCGGTCATCAATGACGTTTTCCAAGTTCTTTTTGTTTAAAGAAATTAATGTGCCAGAGATGATGATAGCAGAGTGCAGTAATGGTTGATCTCCTGATTTGTTTTCAGTGGTAAAACAGTACTCTAATAGCCTTGCTGTCTTTTTATATAGAAAGAAAACTGTTTTAATGGTTAAAGTTAAGGATTTATGGCTTTGCTGTGAATTTTTTGTCAGAAAGTTGAGGAACTGCATTTTCAAGAGAAGTAACTGTTTTCAACAGCAAAACCAGTCATTGTTACAATAAACCATCACAGATGGCAAAACTCACAATTTACCCTCTTCACAGAGTCAGAAAATGCTGCTTATTTGGGGCTATACTTTCTTTCACTGAATCGGAACTGATAACCAGAGAACTGAGAGCAAGCTGAAGATGGAAGACGCCTGTCATATACTGTTGCAAAATGAGGAATGACCAAGACCTCGGATGTTGGGCTGAAAGTGATTCTCATCAAGAACTGTTTCCTGCTAGCACAGGGAATATAATCAACACTCATCCCCATAAAAAGTTCCACTTGGGAAGATGCAATTATGAATGTGAAAGATACAGGTAAGAACTTTAGTTTCCATTGATCCAAATCCCATTAAAAGTAAAGGTGCAGGGAGA